GTGGGTAAACTAGAAAAATATTCCGCAGCTCGCTGGTTAAAATGGTGTCTTGTTTAGTCGGCGATCTTTAAAAGTTGGTTCGTTATTGATCAAAGCACCGAAGATGGATGATAATATGATTGTAATGCCTACTCTACGGCGGTCCTCACTCCATAATTTGTGGGGATCCAATTCGGAAGATAATCTGCATTTTCATGGCTGGGAGAAACCGAGGAGTCGAAGTAGGTCACGCTGCTACAATCGATCTGTTCTGTTGCCTGATATCTGTGGTAAGTTTTTTTCTCCCAAGGACCGATTAGATTCCGTGACAATAATCATTTCATGCAAATGTACAGAGATTATTATTATTACTCATCCTTTATCCCCTTCAATACGAGCACGTAATACGTGTAGTAAATCATGGAGAATACATCACATGAACAGGGTGTTGATGGAGTGAAGGCTGTAGCGGTTTTGTTGTATATTTTAGCTATGGAAAGTTAGGGTTAGGTAAGCGACATCAATAGCCTAGTGTACTTTATAGTTTCATACTCTCCCATACTAGAAAAACCATAACGAGTTTATCTCTTTTGTATTCTCTATAGCATGTGGTAATCATGGCTTTTTGGTAGGATAAGGGAGTGGTAGATAATGGCAGGCATGATATGTGTTATTGCATAGCTTTCGAGTAGCTGGTTATTTGTATGCAGATGAAATAATTACTATATATAATTACATTTTATATATATATATATATATATATATATATATATATATATATATATATATATATATATATATATATATATATATATATATATATATATATATATATATACATACATATATATATATAATATTATGTTTTGAATGGACTAGTATTTATCCGTGGCATGTCTAGACCCATTAGTTGGCCTATATTGACAAGTATTTATGCCTTTGCATATTTAGACACATTTGTCTGACTATATTGACAACTATGTATGCATCGGCACATATAGATGAGCTGCTAATGTCTGTATTGAAGCGTGTTATACCTTGAAACAACTAGACACGTTGGGCGCTGACATACATTGACAATTACTTGTAGGATGGCGTGTATCTTTTGAAAGACATTTGCATTGTCCCAAGGTATATATCTGCGACGTTTAGTGTAAGAATACCTGTTGGGTGACATGCGTTTGGTGATGAACTATCTACAGTAGTATCTAGATCAGTATCTAGAGGAGTATCTGGCACTAATATAATTCCCACCCTCTCCCTCCAAATCTGGTTCACCAACTAAAACGAGTTATACCGAAAATCTCCGTCTCCTGCTACTTTATCCAGTTAATCCCCAGTAAATCCCGTCTGGTCCAAGATCTTTTTACCAGAAATTTAGCGGCTTCTAAATTATTTTATCCCTGAGGGTTACCTTTTTAAAAAAAAACTGTGCCAGCTCAATTTTTTGAGGGAAGCTCGGGATTTGGCAATGTCCCCGTGATCTGGCCTGGTATTTCTCTGGTCACTGGCCTGACAGTACACTGGTCACTGTTTCACTCAACTGTCCAGACCACTGTTTGAGCATGTCTGAAATTTCACTGGTCAGGTTATTTCGGTGAACTGGCCTGGTATTTAACTGGTCAGGTTATTACGGTCAACTTGCATGACCAGTGCATTGTCGATGTTTCGCTATTCAGTGTCCCAGTTAACAGGTCTGATATTTTACAGGTCAATGTTTCCCTGTCCACAGAAATTACACACATTTATAATGTTTGTTTTCGTGACAGTAATTGATTTCTAAAAAAAAATGTGCTTCATAAAATAGCAGTTCTCCACCATTAACGTCATTATGGTGTTATCTAATTAAATATTTAGATGTGTCAAGTTTAATTGAAAAATCTATTAGGCCTACCAGGAATAACATGTTTCACGGCATCCGTCATGATACAATTTTTAATAGATTCGTAATAGGTAATGATGTTTCATGAACGATGTTGCTAAATGACAGTAATATTTAACACTGCCTTCCCCTGATGGGTCTGTCTTAAAATGGAACGATTGGGGAAAGGGTGCAGTCTTTGTTGAAGGGGCTACAGACCAATATAGAAGTGTTATTATGTTTTGTTTTAAATATAGGGATATTCTTTTCAGCTGAGTTATTCTACTATACTGCGAAATCTACTATCTTTTCACTATAAAAATCTGATTACACGTACCTTAACCAAAACATGTATCAAGCAGTGTACTAAGTATTGTAACCAACATCTAAAGCAATTTTGTAACTATTAATAGTCACTAATTTTTTTTAAAGACAGGTTTCCATTCTCGTCAGTAGGTTTTGGTCGTGTTTAGTTGTGATCAAGCATTAGACTAGCAGAAAAATGTGCAGAATCGATGACATTAAAAGTTACCGTCGTGCCGTTTGGAAAGGGAGGTTTAGTGATACAAACCCTTGCTCGCTGTAATCTGGGAGTAGTGCTGGCACATTTAACAACTACACTGGACATTCATTAAGCGATTCTAATTACTTAGAATTTTTTTAACGGCAACTGTAGTTTTGGATTGCTACACATTTGATGGTATTTTTTAATTTTATTTTGAACACATCAACTTTTAGCTTTAAAAGTTTTACCAACTTTTAAAAAACTCGTATTTAATGTGCGTTTTTTGTTCGTTTTTAAAACAAGTTTACTAAATGTGCCAGTGATACGTCAGCAAAGATCCGTGTATGGCAAAAATTATTGATGTCTCCCCTCCTTCCCCGTGTAAATTGAAGTAATTTTGTGTATAGAATTTCATATCTAAATGTAAAATCAATGGCGGCAAAAACAGCAGCGTTGCAGCAAGAATGAAGTTTGTTGTCGTTTAGACAGAAAGTTTAAGGACTTTACTGTTGTGTTACTCTTTTTTTACTTAATGATACATTTCGTTATTGTAGATCGGCGGGCTTTAATAAAATCGTATTTGAACGCGAATTGAAGGAATACAGAAAATGAAAACATGTATGTGAAATGAACATTAAATAGCAGTCAGTAGATGTCTAAACATGCATTAATGACTTGAAATAACGTTAGTAGACTCAATATTACGGACTATGGTGGACATGTGTTCCCATCACAGTACAACCCACCTGATGTAGTGACAGAGGCGTAGCGAAGGGGGGGGGGCAGGGGGGGTACATATGTCCCCGGGCGCCGACCTCGGGGCGCCAAAATGGGTTGAAAAAAATTAAAATCTCATTTTAGGTGCAGTTTTGCATTATAAATATAAAATATATATGGTGGGGGGGGGGGGCTAATGGAAAGAGAGGGGGGGTGAAAATTGAAGGTTTGTTCCCGAGGGGGCGCCAAATTGAAAGTTTGTCCCCTGGCGCCGGGAAGGGTCGCTACACCTCTGGTAGTGATGAAATTAATGAGCCCTAGAAGTATCCTCAGCGTCTTATTATGTTACCGCGTCATCACTGTACGTCACCGCGAGATTTTTTCTGTCACATTGATGTCACGGGCCCAACTCGTTTTAAAAGACGTCTGGACCTTTATTTTTCTCCTCGTTACGTGGAGATTCATCGAGGTCTCGGAGCGCAAGTCCACGAGAAGTATTACACGTCAGGGAGTGACATTCGACTGGCAGTGTTTAATTAGAGGGCCCGGTATCGGCCCGGGGAGCCAACCATCTATCTAGACTTTATCGATTTTAGACTATTCATTTAACCTACTCATTACACTCCATGCTGACATTTTAGTGGTCTTTTAAAGGAATTTTTTTTTGTCGGTCGTACTCTCAGGGATGTCACGGCATTGGGACCAGATTACACAAATTTAATCAAGTCATTTAAAAAGTAATAAATGGCTAATATTTATGTATAGAGATTGATCTATATCTCCGTAGCTGTGCTGTTGAATAATGTTACTGCTACAACTGTTAGATGAAATGCTTGCATTTTATAATCGGCCTTGTAAAGTTCGAATGCAAGTATTATGTGTAAGAGGGAGGGGGGAGTTGATAGAGAACTTTTAAAAATCGTAAATAAGGTAGTATTTAAAACATGTTTAGAAACGTAATATAACATATTTATAGCATACTGGTTAGACTAAAATAGTCAAATAATTAAATACCCTACTTCGGCTTGGTATACTTGGTTGTTTCGTGAATTCATTCTGGTGAATCAAATCCCCGAAAATGTACAGTTTGGTTGATTCTGGTAGCAACATTTCTTGTGTGAAAAGCAAATATGTCTGAATCAAAAAGAATGTGTTGAAAGTTTGTGCTCTAAAACATGATGATTGTGATGAGACAAGGAAATGGGGCAGGGACACAAGCATGTTTATTGATAAAACTCCCCGCCTCCAGTTATTGATTATTCCCCTGGCGCCGTCTAAGTGATGTGTAGTTGAATGGGGTCAGCTGATCTTGTATGGCAGTGAGCTATTTCTTGAGTGTGAATGTGATAAGATATGCAAACGTCTGGCGTCAATGGAGGAAGATTTGAGTAGCCCTAGTTCTGGTGAAGTTCCGTTACTTACAGTCTCTCAATGTGAAGGTATCCTCTGTGTAGTTTCTTGTCTTTTCTTATAAAAAAAATATTCTGCTATTGACTCACGTGATTTCACTTAGTTACTAGTAGTAAGTTTCCTTGAAAACAATATTTGTGTCCTTAGTCTTTTAGTGTTTGAATTGCGGTGGATTCTGTTTGTTACATTTACATTGTGTAGTGTAGGTGTATGAAATAGCTTTATCTAGACGATTCTTGTTCTGTATCTGCCTCAAGGACATGCTATTCTCTGTTACAAGGTTATTTAGGTGTGTTGGTTTTCTTTGGCATAATTAGAGATACATGTTTTATGACAATGTGTTGTTGTTGTTTGTTTTTTTAGTTTTAGTAATAACAATAATCATATGTGATGGCTCATTTGAAACAGTATTGCGACAAATTTGATTTTCATTCATAGATTTATAGATTTGATCACCTCATTAAAACTACATAAAAACTGTAATAATTGTCAGTTCACTCCATTAACACTATTGTTTGTTTTTTATAGGTTCCCCCCATGAGAGTCCAAGAAATTTGTCACCTAATCAACATGGGCATTTTGCTTTCCAGGCTATCAGAAAGTAAGTGCTGTTTAATGTTTAACTAGAGTGGAAATGGAATAGGTCATCCAGAATTTAAATTTTCATTTGATAAAGTAGAATACAAAGTAAAATCTATTTTATTGAGTGTTGATATCAGTTGAAATAGTTATGTATTTGTTATTTTTGGTATAACTCAGTTTATATGGTTTATGTATATAATAATAAACCTGTATTAGAAGATGTTCAAAGTCTATAACATACACAATTCTCTTGACTTTTTATAGTATATAGTTGTCAATTTTTCCATGGTTTAGGTGAATTAGATTAGTTATATTTAATAAGCTATTTCATCTCTAATGTTAGTTAAGTTATAAACCTTTTTACTCTGAGTGTTAACAGGTGTGATGGAAGAAGGTGGTCTTGTGCCTCCATTCCATCCTCTGGATATGGCACAAACACACCAGGCAGTTCTAATGTCTCGGTGAGTAAAGCCTTTTTTTTTACACTTTTAAACTAATAAGTAATTTAGTGTCTTGTTTATCATCTCATGCTGTTTTCTATCTCCATTTTTTTATCATGTTGGTCTGTCTTGTCTTTTATCTACCCATCCACACTACCATTAGTCCAGGCACTAAAAAAAAACCCACTACAAACAGTTGTCTCTAAAATGCTGTCGTGTGCTATTCTTTTTTAATTTTTAGATTATCATACAAAGAACATCTTTTGTTTCTTTTTATTTTATATATATATATATATATATTTTTTTTTTTTAAATATTTATAAAATTGACTACAATAGTCTAAAATATGTTAGTGCAATTCATTCTGTTATTTCTAGTGAACTTTGAAGACATTGTAAGAAACAGCAAGGATATTATTTGTTCATAATAGAGAGAAAACAGAGGTTTTTATTTCGTAAATCAAAATAGTTGAAGTATGATATGAAATATTAATAGTGATATTTTCAAAGATTTTTGAAAAATGAGATTACAGATTTGGTTACCACAGTGACTTGTATAACATAAAGAAGATCATTCATTTTGTAGTTGTCAAGTTTTTTTGTATTGGGTTAGGACATATTTTATTAGATCTTCAAATTCAGTTATGGTATTGATTGGGACTAGGGTTGACACTGTTGGCTATTTCCTTCCAGAATTAGGGTTTTAGTATTTTTAAGATTTTATCTTGGTTTTCTTATGTATATTCTCTAAAGTTCTGGAGTTTTTGAAGAGCTATCTTTTCATTGATTTGTTTACTTAACTTGAAATAGTAAGTTCTTAGATTTTGTAAAAAAAAAATAACATTTTTATGCAGTGCCAATCAGTAACTGCTCTCTTTATTCCATTATCATTATTCTTGCAATATTTCTGATACATTTCTGTCAGTCTAGATATTTAAATCTTTATTTGTGTAGAAAGCTCATGAAATAAGCCTTATTTCTGTGCATTATATTTTCATTTTAGTCAGGTCTTAGATTATACTTTGTCTTTTTTAATCAAGTCTACATTTTCATAATCCTTTATGTACACATTTATAATTGTATTGTTCTTTACTGTTACATTCATAACATGAAAATCTCTTTCATGAGACCCATTTATAAAAATGACCACAGCATATTTATAATTTTAACACATCCATCTAGTAAATCCATCACATTTATCCCTTACAAAAATCTCTTTTCTACAAACATCCACCACCTACACCTTCATCATACACTTCCATCATATAACTATAATTTTGGTGGTAGCTAACTGAATATTTTTACAATCATTGTTTATTCAGCTCTTCCCCCAATCTAACCCACAGTCACGCTACTCATCCCAGGAAAGACTGCACCAGTTCCCCTCACAGCCTACAGCTGAGGAGCTTCACTTCTTGTCCAGTCATTTTGGCAGTTCAGAAAATATGAGCCATGATGATCAGGAGCTGCACCCTCATACCAACATGAGGCCTAGATCCAGAAGTCTCAGGTTTGTCTAACTATTCTTGGCTTTTAAAGTTTTTGATATTATTTAAACTATAGGAAACAAAAAGGCGGTTTGCAGTTAACAGACTACAGCTAAAACAACGTTGATTAATTTTAGTATGATTAATTTGGGTAACATTTTGTGAATTAGTAATGCCAGCTTAACATTCTGTTCTTGCTACAAATTAGTTGCATCACATGAAAAACTGGTTGTTTTAGATAATTACATATGATAGCTTCTCCCTTTTTGTTTATTTTTCTCCAGTTTTAAAAATAGCATGGCCTATAGAAGTTTTCTTCTATCCTGGTAGCTTTGTTTTATGGGCAGGGTGGGGTTGTAAAATAAGATTAAATACAACCCAAGCTTCTCTGGCTTTATTTTATCACATATTTCTCTTAATATTTTATACAATAGCCCTGAGAGCTAGACATTGTGTTTTTAAGACAGTTTTCAGCATTAAATATAAATGTATGTTCTTACATATATCAGGTTTATCATCCTTTGTAAAAGACATATTTTAGTGCAGACATTATGTTTTGAAAGTTTTTTTTACTTGCAAAATGATTTATTTGTATTTTAATTCATGAAAACTCTTGCTACCTTCCTATTTAATTAACAGTTTATTTTTAAAAATACACAGTAAAAATAAAAAGTTGTTGGGCTTAGGGTCAATATATTTTTTTTAAATTAAAGTTTTTATTTGGCTTTACCCTTTTATTTCTGTTTGGACCATAGCAAGTTCCTGACCCTTTCTCAGGCATGCTATTTTATATTGCTATTTGTAGTGTTGGAAAAAATGTTAGTCTTCAGTAAGATGCCAATTTTAGTTACCATTATTTCAGTTATAGCACAATCATAGCATGATGCATTATTTGATTTGATTTGTGTTTATTTTCTACAGCCTTTCGTGGCTTGCTTTAGAGTAAGATCATTTGTTGTGTTACTGTTGTCATTAATTGTGGTGTTGGCCTATTGGACGCTCAAGGAAAATGGCCTGTTTTTCTCTTGTCTTACATTAAATCCTTATCAAAGATTCATGTTACTTTCTGTATAGACTGCTAATCCTATGAACATTGGAAACATTTCAACTCTGGTTAGTTTGCTTGACATCCCTTGAGCTTTTTAAGACTACCAGATCTTTACACCAGGGACTTCCCTTCTCCTGTTATTAGACTCAACTAAAGAGCTAAAGTGTTTGGTTACATTAGGTCAGTGTAGCTCAGCTAATGTCATGTTGGTGGGGTTGCCAAAATAGGAAGTTAAAACGACCAACCTTCCACAACGTTTTGTGTACAATAAACATTAAATAAAATATTCCAATGTTCATAAAATGTTTAAACCTTAGAGGCTTTTCTAAATAAGTTATTAGTTTGGGAGTAGTTTTTAAAAATTAAAAAGAAAAAGAAAAAAAAAAGCAACTAGTGCTTAGGCTGCTCCAAAATCTGTTCAATTTTAATACATTTAACTAAACATAAAACAAAAATACATTTGTCTAAATCATTGTAAAGGTCTTTGGGGGAGGGGGGTGGGATGTATATTGTCAAGTGTTTATGAGCTGTTAGCATAGGTTGCTGCAGAAAAAAATGTTTTTATAGATCCCTATCATAACTGTGTACTGACATCCAGATTTTAAAATTATTTTACTGTTTTGTTGCAATTTAGCACATTGTATTGTTACACACACCTTGTTAAACACTACTTTATTTATATTGTTGTTTAAGTTTCAGTCCTCTAAGGTTTAATCTTGACTGCTGCTTTTGTGTAACTGAATAATCAAGAGAATTTTTACAATTTCATGCAAGATATAAAGGATATCAGTTTATATCTTTCTTTTTTTACCAGTTGAAGATTTATGTTCATTTGCTTGTTGCAGTTTATCATAAATAGCATTTTAATCATTAATGTGTATCAAGGCTTGATACACAGGAACATTGCATGCACCATCATTTTTTAATTTATTTCATGCTTTCAGTCAGCTACATTTTGTAGTTGACTAATTGCATTAAGATGAGCCTCATTTAAACTAGTTTACAAAGCAGTATCATTAGCATGTATTAAGCTTCAATTAGAGGTGTATAGTTTTTAGATATGTTCTGATAACTACATAGAGACTATTTTTTAGATAGGTGCTTAAAACACAGGATACAATAATACTGGAAAAGTGTATTATACATGATACAATAACTTAAAAGATGTTAAAATGACTGTTTTAAAAAGTATTTTCTGAATGTTATGTTGTCAAGCCAGTAAGTAAAGAAAGCTGCATATCTGATCTAAAATCTGTTAACTTATTGTTATGTCAGCAGTTCGTACTGTATGTTTTTATATTGTGTTCAATTGTAAAGACATTCATACTTTCAGGTTAATTAAAAGCAACTTGTAATTTTTTATGAAGTACAGTATAGTCATCTGGCTGAATTTTTTTTTAAATTGCCTCTCAACACTTTCTAAAGTCATTTTTTCTTCATTTTTTTTAAAAATTATGCTTTAAAGAACTTAAGTTTATGGGCACATTGGGTAATTTATTTTCTGTAAATGTAGAAAATATTTATGTTGTAATCTTTATAAATGAAGTATAAGAAAATTTTTTGTAATGGTAAGCAGCAGCCCGGCAAGGTCTCCTGGTGTGGAGTCTGAGATTATCATGATGAACAGTGTATACAAGGAGAGATTTCCCAAGGTGACATCTGCTTTCTATCTTCATTCATTTAGTATCAGTTGATAGAATAAATTGATCTCTTTAGTAAAGTTGTCATATTCTTACCTTACAAAATGTTTATCCGTTAAATTACTTACCATACTTTTATCTGTTTAGTTGAGTTTTGACTTATCCTACCATACTTTATCTTCAGGCCACCATTGAAATGGAAGACAAATTGAAAACTTTTATTTCAAACAACGCAACATTGGACATAGCACAGGAGTCAGATGCCATACTTTGTTTTTTGCACTATCAGGTACTACATGACATTAAATGTTTCATTCTTTCAGATTAAATAGCAAATATTGTTTGAACTTCTTGTAATGCATTAGATTCACAAGATGCCTCTCTTTGCTTTCTTACATATTCTTTTAACTTCTCATGGTTTTGATCTTCCTGTTTCTCTTTCTGTACATTTTTTTCTACCAATGGATAACTTTGTTAATTCAGTGTTATGCCTCTAAAGTAAGAAAAGTCTGTAGTGATATTTTACTGAATGCTCTTTGTCTGTAGGTTCTTGAACTGGCCAGAGACTGCCTCAACAAATCTGCAGAGAAAATGATAACTAAAGCTTATTTTTATGAACTGTTGGATAATCTCGAGAGATTAGCTCAGGATGTAAGTTCTTGTTCACACTCAGGATACATTTTCAGTCTAACATTTTAAATGATGCAAGCAGAAAAGGATTAAATAATTTATTAGAAACTATTTTAGAAGTATTTATAACAACTAAAAACAAAACTAAAACTTTAATAATTAAGAACATGTTGAAATTATCACGTGTGCACCACCTTAACTAATCATACTTTTTAACCATTTTTTGTTTAGTTTAAACTTAATAGTAAAGCAAATTAATTAGCAATTTTTAATGTTTAAAAAAATCAAAACTTTGATTAAAGAATTAATAATTGCAGTCATCAGCTGTTGGTTGAACATTTCAAGAAAATATTTCTTCCCATTTCAGGCAAGGGAGCGTTCTATGGAGGCCTACAAAAACTTGTACCCCCTTGTGAAACAGTTGCTGTTGATTGTCTCACGCCCACTCAGGCTGCTTGAATGTTTGGTATGTAACATGTTGCTAGGGTTCTGTCAGCCAGGTTAGATATCATGCTTGTTGTAGATATTGTCACATCACTTAAGTTTTAGTTTCAAGCAATTTTCTTCTATTGATATCAATTTGATACAGAATTTTTTTTTCAATAAAGTATCTAATTGTTCTAATGCCTTTTATTAGGAGTTTGATCCTGAAGAATTCTACATGTTGTTAGAGGCTGCAGAAGGACAGATCAGACAGATAATCAAAGATGACATTCCTCAGTACATCATATCTAAACTAGGGCTTACTGGGGATCCACTGTCAGGTTGGTTCAGATATCATCTACTTCTGCTCTAGTCTAAATGGTGGCATGAGATTGTGAAAGGTTTTGGAATATGGTTTTTATTAGTGTTAAATATCTTGCAGGGTTGACCCCAGTAGATCATTATGATGCACCAGACCAGAGTACAGAAGAAGCTGATGGAGATAAATATGAAGAAGATACAGAGGTAATTCTAGCTAGTAGTGATCTCTTTATCTCATGGCTGAGATGTAGCCTAAGAGTTGTATTAGAAACCTTACCCACTGTTACCATGAAACCAATTAAAACATTGTTTTCTTCCCCCCAGGATCATGAAGTTACTGGTGTAACAAAGGTGAAGCAGCCTTGTGAAGATGATTATGATACAATGAAGCTTATAAGCAATGGAGCTTATGCGTAAGTTGGTTTGGATAAACATCTCAACTGTCTGGCTTGTTATTTGGGGTTTTCATGGTTAACCACAATATTGAAAATGGGAATGATATGTATTCATGATAATATAATGTTGGTATTAGATATATTTTTTTAGTTTGGTAGAAACTTTTATACTTAATTTGAGTAAAGAACCAATAAAATGTTTATTATTTATCTTTTGTTGGTTTAAAGTTGTATTTCTTTTGTTTTACAGTGCTGTTTATCTTGTCCGGCACAAAGTCACACGTCAGAGGTTTGCCATGAAAAAAATTTGTAAACAAAATCTGGTCCTGAGGAACCAGATTGAGCAAGTCTTTCTGGAGAGGGATATTTTATCCTTCACTGATAATCCTTTTGTTGTCTCCATGTACTGCAGTTTTGAAACTAAGGTCAGAATCCATCCACTTGATCCATCATTTAAATAGGGGCTATTTATTATCGCATATTGTTTATGCTTTTACATTTTAACTTTCACATTGTTTGATACTTGATAATTTGTTGCTAGAAACATTTGTGCATGGTGATGGAATATGTTGAAGGAGGTGACTGTGCTACACTGTTAAAAAATGTTGGATCTTTGGCTCTTGACCTTGCCAGGTAAAAGTTTGTTTTTTCTCTGCCATGTCTGCTGCATTTGGTTATTTTTATTTGTTGAGCCAGTGACTTAATATTAGAAAGGATGTTTCTCAATGCTTAAATAGTCTTGAAGTTAGTATTGGTGTCAGAGTATCGCTGTTTTGTATAGTTTGTTATATGGTACAGTAAATGTGTAAAGGGTTTTGTTAACTTGAGAATAAAGATGGGATTTTTTCTTCAGGTGTAGTAGTTGCATGGGGTTTAGAACAGCTTGAAAAGTTTGGCTTTATTTAGTTGGAAGTGTCACATAATGTCAGCATCAACCTCTTTCCACAGGATGTACTTTGCTGAGACTGTACTAGCCCTCGAGTATCTACATAGTTACGGTATTGTGCACCGTGATCTTAAACCTGACAAGTTAGTTTTTTTTTCTTATACCATTATGTTTTTGTGCATACCTTAACTGCTCAGATATAATCACTACAGCATGGAGGAAGTCATGTTAAGCTAATTTTCATGGAGTATAGTAATTATTTAAGCCTCTGTAGTTCCTTTCTGATTTTAGTATCTGACCAGAAACTTGTTTCTACAGCTTGTTGATCACAGCCCTAGGTCATGTCAAACTGACAGACTTTGGTCTCTCTAAGATTGGTCTCATGAGTTGTAAGTTTTTATACACATCTGTGTGCAGTTGTTGTGTATCTGTCATATGACATCTCATTTTTATTTTTTGCACTGTATCACTATTCATCACGTGTCACATTTTTTCCTGATTATGTTATAAGTGGCAGCGTTTTCATCCTCTTCTATCAATCTTTCAGTGACAACAAATCTTTATGAGGATGCTCTGGATAAAGACTGTAAACAGTTTAGGGATAAGCAAGTTTTTGGCACACCTGAATACATTGCACCTGAGGTTATCCTGAGATCAGGCTATGGCAAACCTGTTGACTGGTGGTCTATGGGAATCATCCTGTATGAGTTCCTTGTGGGCTGTGTCCCATTCTTTGGTGACACTCCAGAGGAGTTGTTTTCTCAAGTAATAAATGGTAAGTCTTTTGTTTATTCTACCCTGAACTGTTTATAATACAATTTTTTGCTTTACCAAGCAACCAGATTCACAAGTTATCTATCTATCTACACCACCATCTTTTACTTTGTGTAGTCTACATTTTATTAGAGAAAGATAAAATATTGTTTGATGTATTTGTAACATTAGCTTGACTTATACCTTCAGAGAACATTCAGTGGCCAGATGAAGATGAATGGCAAGTGAGAGATGATGCTAAGGACCTAATCCTAGGTCTGCTTCAGCATGATCCTCTTCAGCGACTGGGAACTGGTGGAGCCCAGGAAGTGAAAGAACATGTGTTCTTCATGGGCTTAAACTGGGAAAATCTGCTGCGCCAGAAAGCTGAGTTTGTTCCTCAGCTTGATGGGGATGATGATACTAGTTACTTTGATAGTAAGGTTTTTTTTTTGTGTCCATTTTTACTTAGATAAGTTGTGTAGCTTAGCTGGTAACCATTTTGATTGTGTTTTATTTTTGCTAATTCTTGTTTAATATACATTGTTCAGATGATACTAATTACTTTAAGTTGACTGAAGTTCTAAGTCAAATTGATTAGCTGACAGGAGAAAATTAATATTTTTTTATTCCAAATTTTGTGATCAAATTTTTAAAATCAAATTTTTGCAATTTCACAAGCTAAGACAGTCCAAATTTATGTTTTTTACAGGTCGCATTGACCGCTATAATCATGAGCTGGACACAGAGACTGAAGATGATGGTGAAGAGATATTGTTTCAGAGTTTTTCTTCTTGTTCCCCTCGCTACTCACGTGTGTACAACCGAGGCTTGGAGCCACTGATACAAGATGTAAACATGGCATTTCTCAGCCCTTATGCTAACATACCTCCACAGGTCTCTATACTTATCGTAGTAATATTGTGGCCAGCGTGGATGGCCTCTATATTGTCAGCATTCCTGGTTGCATTCTTGTATAATGTTGGCTGAATCTCCCACCTGTCTTGTCACACCTTTGAAAGGCGCTGGTTTGTTGTAACACTGGACACAAGGCTTTTACACGTGTCATGTCCAGTTTCATGTGTAACTTGTTTCTATGGCCCCCATTTGCTTGTAACACACTTCCTGACTCAGTTTTGTTCATACACACCTGATCTACTGGGTTTGGCTTGATTGTGGAATGACCTGCTACAGCCAGTATCACACCTGTCCTCTACAGCACTTGTCTTGTTATAATTAACCTCTAGCCTGTTTGCACTGTAACTGTCTTACTCCAGCTGTAACTGTCTTACTCCAGCTGTAACTGTCTTACTACAGCTGTAACTGTCTTACTCCAGCTGTAACTGTCTTACTCCAGCTGTAACTGTCCAATTGCAACTATAACTAACCATCTTACTACAGCTGTAAGTCTTACACTAGCTGTAATTTTCTACTTGCAGCTTTAACTAGCTTACTTCAACTGTAACTGCCTTACTACAGTTGTAATTGTTTTTGCTACAACTGTGACTGTCTTGCTATTGCTCTCTTACTTTAGTTGCTACTGATGTCTCTAAATAAATACCTGCTTGTGAACTACTTGCAATACATATCTCACTACACTTGTCTTGGCACATTAGTTAATTTCTAACAGCTGACATGCTACTAACAGTTCTTTCCTTACTGTAACTTCACATGAAGTTATTGCACCTGACTTGCCAGTCTCCAGTGGGTCTCCTCTAGTGTTGTCACAAACTCCGTGTGCACATGAATGTTGTCACAAACTCCATGTGCACATGTGATATGAACATCTGTGTTAATGTCATCTGAGCTTGCTTGTTGCCCTCATCAGTAAACTCATGTGCACAGAGGAACAAAGCATTGCCTCTAGTTTCTAACTTAAATATTAGGTTTACTCTATTTGTGTGTCATAACATTTAAATTTTTAATTCTCGTGTTTTAAATTTTAAAAAAAAAAAGGTCACAGTAAGTTTAAAGCATTTTATCAACTAAATTTATTTTCATCATCTAAGAAATGTGTATTAATAAGTCAACATATTTAGCAAATTTAATCATTTTAACAAAGAATTAATTCTGTTCCTTGTGTGTAATGAATGTTGTTTTTATGATTATTGTTTGTACATTTTAATGTTGTAGTATTTTTAAATCAACTAATTGAATTTTCAGGATGAATTTTTAAAGAACAAATCTCATTTAATTAAATATTTTAATAGGAATTAAGAGAAAGGCGGCGACATTCAAGTGCAGATGATTTTAGAGCTCGTGTGCTTGAGAGGCGGGCCCTTGAACGCAAAGATTCCAATCATTCAGAGGGATCAGAAGGGTCTATGGAAATGTTGAAAAGAAAGGACAGTGTTTTGTCAGATACAACAGACAGTGGCGGACATGAGGAGGTTCTCAGTAGCAATGAAAGGTTGGACATTGTGTTGAACCTACTCTAGAGAAACTTATTCACTGACTTAGTCATATACACTGCTTCTTCATTCAAAATATTCATTCAGGCTTCATATTGTACACAAATAACATGTACTAACACCTGATGAAACTATTTGAAGCATCTGATTGTGTACATTACAGACGTGCCAGTGACAACACAACAGATTCCTCACAGACAGACAGCGACTCATGCAACTCTCCACAGATCAACAGGGCTAATAAACTGATCGCTACTAAGAGTGTCATTCCTAAGTTTGCCATTTCATCAGAGGAAGATAAAGGTTTGTTGAAAAGATTGTTATTGTGTTTTAGCTGCCATTTAATAAATAGTGTAATTTTTTGGGCAAACTAGACTGTTTAGTTTGGTGCCTGTAATATTGGAATGGTTGGTTGGTTCAGGAAAAAAACCTGTTAAGGGGCTGTCTATTAGTTATATCTCACTTGGAGGCGTCAGAAGGTGTGGTAAAAAGAGAATTTTTAAATACTAAATTTTAGCAGTTATTTTTCATTTTAAAGATGTAAACTGTAAGTAAGAAACATTGGTCAGTATCATAACTCTTGGCCAAGCTAAATTTATATTTTATGAAGGACTCCTATTTCTTAAACATAAATTATGATGTGTTAGGCTAAAGTGTGATGTAATTTTAGTGGGAAGGGGTGATCACAAATTTGTGATATGGTGGGCAAAAATTATCCAACTAAGGTGTTGGTTGTTCTTTAGTGTTGTTGTCAACCACAAGTATCTGGTCAGATTGTAATGGTCTGGCCAGTGTGTTGTATATAACTGATCAGTGTGTAGTGATATGATCTTCATGTAGACAAGTTAGTTAGCTAAATGTTAAAGTTACTGTACTTTCCTTTTCTAGAATTGTCACCTGTTGATGAGGGTAAAGAAGGAAGTAAAGAACAAAGTAAAGAGAAGAGTGAACAGAAGAGAGAAAGCAAGCTGCCCATGCAGAAATCAGTCTCAGCTAATGCTTTAACTTTGTTGATTACACCAACTGGAGGTGAGAGGAACATTTGTAGCTCTGTTAGTTCCATGCCATTAAGTTCCTTTTTAACAAAGCTCAAGTAATTCTACTGTATCTTCCTCCAGTTTTAATATCAGACCTTACATCTATTTTGTTTAATGCACCAGATGACTTAAGCACACCTAAAGCTGCTTCACCTGGTGGATCAAGTACTAGCTCTAGAGATGGCTCACCAAGCAGGGACACCTCCCCTCTAACGCGGAGCCTAAAGCCACCTATTATATTAAAGAGAGGAGCTCGAGGATTTGGATTCAGTTTCCGTTCAATCAGAGTTTATATTGGAGAGTCTGATGTCTACACGCTACAACATATTGTTACTGTAAGCTATTTTTCTTGTTTGAATTTTGTCAGTTAACATTTTTATATAAAATTATTAACAACCCACATTGTTTCTTTAAAAAGTTACGTCAATGATATAAATGAATGAATTTTGTCTTGTAGGAGGTGGAACCAAACAGTCCAAGCTTTGAGGCTGGCCTAAGAGCTGGAGACCTAATAACACACATCAATGATGAGAGTGTTCAGAGTCTTCTGCACACTCAAGTTGTCCACCTGTTGAGCTCTGGAAGTATTGTCAACATCAGGGCCGTTCCACTGGATAAAACAACCATCAAGGAGGGCTCCAGGCGCAAGGGCAACCCTGGTAAAATGGCAAGACGTAGCCAGAAGAAGAAAGAGAAGGTGCAGGAGAAAAAGAAAGGAAGAAATTTGCTGAGAAGGCTGAGCAGCAAAAAGTCAGATCCCCCCATTTTCCCCCATATGCCCCCAGGCCGTCAGCAGTTTACACCTCTGAATAGGTCAAGCTCATCAGGGGATCATCACACAAAGCTAGGCCGCTCTCCTCCCATCTCAGTTCCTTGGTCCCCAGACTCTTCTCAGGCCGGATCCTCCACATCCAGCTCCCCCAGCTCTAGTGCTCCCAACTCACCAGCCACTCAAGTAGGTGCCGCTCACTTTGGCAGACCCAGCTCCTTGCATGTTGCCAAGCATAAGAAAACTGGCAGTCTCAAGTCTCCCCACAGGCGCAAGTCAGTTCACAACTTCCCACTTTCTCCCCTGGCTCGCACCCCATCCCCGTCAGCCACAGTCCAGTCTCCAGCTAGAAGTCCTTCCCCGTTAGCCCTGCCCCACAGTCATCAGGCTGGCAGCTCCACCCAGCCCCAACAAACTGTGCCATCTCACATCAACAATCTGCACTCATCCCCTGTTCCCTCCTGTAAGAAGTCGCTGATTGCTCCCTCCCCTGCCAAGCCTCAACCCTCCACTTTGTCCAAAACACCCCTTTGCCGACCAAAAAGTTGTGAACCGGGATCCCCCATAAAAAGAAGAACATCATCACCAGAGAGGCTGCACCCAAGTTCAGCAAATCAAAGACAAGCTAGTTCTGCAGGCAGTGGAGCTCTTGACAAACTTCCTCCTCCTCACAGAAAAATCTCTCTGCAAGAAAAACAGCACCACTCGGATCCAACATGAAATTTTTTGGGGGTGAACTGGTTTTACTACTTTACTTTCTTGTGCAATGTTTACATATTCATTCTTGATCATGTTAGAAACATGTTCCAGTAGTTTTGTGCCAGAGGGTCTGTGAAGTTAGCAGACCTGACTAATCATACCAGTGTTTCTACATACTGTTGAGAGGTATCAAAGTTTTAAATATGTACAATACATCTGTCCAGCTCACAGACTGATTGTTGCTTGTTTTATCTGACATGACACTATTTTATTCACGCTAAAAAAAATTGTATTTTTGCTACTTGGTGTGTCTCATGCTAAGTCGCACTGATTGGGCAGATTTTCCTCTGGATTTAACTGAATGGACTTGCAGGACTTGATTTTTATCTGGAGCATGTAGGGCTTAGCATATCAAAGGTCTAGTCAAACTACTATGGAGATATTTTGAGTGTCACCATGTTAAATCAGGGACTTGATTCTACCAGTAAACTTTCTCAACTCACAACAGGCTTGATCTTCAGAATGTTAAAACCTTGAAAATATTTATTGCTGCCCTAGAGGTGAATGTACTGGAGCAAAAAGTTTTTGATGAGCATTTTAAATCTAACTAAATGAACAGAGCTAGTCTCTAGTTGATTCTATCAGTATTGAAGTCTGCAAGGTTGTAACATTATTTATCTTGTCAATTAATTATCACGTTGTAACACCTTGACCATTTAAGGTGCATGACCCTTGATGAATGCTGTACACTTATATGTTAACAAGTTGCAGATTTTTAACATGATGCCCATTTACTGACAAGTGTATATTTACAATCATAAGATAAAAGTGAAAAAATATTTGTACATTTGAAGTATTGATCTTTATATATATATATATATGGTTGAGGAATTGAACAATGGCAAGCTTACATAAAAGTAAAGACAAAGAGGTGGTTAAAGTATATGTTACATAAATGTATGACACCTTAGCTGTGGTAATGCACTTTAGCATTATGTTGCTCAACATTTGTACAGACACTAACTGTATCCTTACCTTTCACTAGAATTAGAAAGAGGATAGCATCAATGCAAATCTCTGTGTTGCTATGTTCTTTTTTGTTCATATAAGATCCCACTTGGACTCAGGTGGCTGGTATTGTGAATTGTTGCACACAAGATGACCATTCTGTTACCTTTGATATCTGTCCATGTCAATGATGAAACTTGCTGGTGCCCTTCTGTTTTGTAGTCAAATGTAGTTCAATTGATTGGCTGGCAGTCTTGACATCTTCCTGCTGGTGTTGTTTATATATATATCTCCTTGTCATCCCACCTATAGAAACTTCAACAAACCACATGGAACATTTTTTTTTAAAAATAAGTATGCAAGTTTACAGATCATGATTTTATATTTTAAGTAGCAATGTAAGGTCAATTGAAATACTTACATTTTATCAGATTTTGTAAAGGTAGTGTAGCTCTTTGTTATTTTTATTACTCATACATTTTCCGCCAGTATATGCCATACTCAACAATAATTAATCTGGAAAGGTGTATGCAAATGAAGCTTAAGCTTGATAGATGTTGATAAATGACTAATAGCTAATGCAGATAAAAATAGCAAGCTACTAATCAGTTTTAGTTATACAAAATTTTAAACCTGCTTATAGTTAGTTAGGTTACAAGATGGTTTTTGTTTATAATGAGCTAGAAGAGACACATCTAATGTATGGTGTAGTGTAAAAACATTCCATCACCCCTGTGAGACTACTTTAGTGTTAGATTAGCCTGATCCTATACGCGATATTTTAAATTTAAAGAGAGAAAAATCATAAAATCTTTAATCATTTAATGTAAAATGGTATTGGTAATGCTGTACAATCATTTGTCTCATACTATTTTAGCACACATAGTTGTTTCCCATTGATGTATATGGTCAAAGTTGTCCCCCATTGATGTACATGGTGAATTGAAATGCTCCACCTGTGATTTGTTTGAGCTGCTTTCATTGTTATGTGGGCTTTCTCTCCAACACTTCTATAGATGAATCTGACTCCAGCATTAGAGCAGATGAATCAGTCTAATCACTCCAACATTGGTATAGTTTAATCTAACTGGAATAGATTATTCTATCTAATGGTTCAACCTTGGAATAGATTACAATAAAAGCCATTGTTGTCATCTGGTAAAAAGAGTTTTAAGTTGTTTTATTTTCTAAATGTTTCTGTGACGTCTTAAGGTGAAAATTTACATGGCTATGATACCTCCTCCTCCCCCCCCCCCCCCCCCCCCCCCCAACAAATATTCAGTCCTTAAAGTTTAACTGAAGACAGCAGGTTTGTCTTGGGAGGTTGAAAAATCACCAGGGGAACGGGATAAAATGGAAAGGATATGGTTGAGTGCTTATGCTTCACAAGAAGTAAATAAGATTGCGTCAGTTTAAGGATTGGGTATTTGTCAGAAATAAATTAATCATATTTTTCAAATGTGACAGGATTTTGTCACAAAACTATTTCTTCGTCGCCCACTACTTTAGATAAATGGGAGATCGTTGCCATTTAGGGTGCCGGGGGGGGGGGGGGAGGAGGCCACCTCTAGACCTTTACACACCCCAGCCTTCGCCACAACTAGCAATATTAAAACTGGAAGATTATTTTTGTATATCTTGAGGCAGATTCAGCCTAGATCGTTTTAAAATTCAGTATATTAAAAGCTGCATACTTTTAAAGTAGGGCCTGTGTACAGTGTTGTATACTGTGTTAAACCCACATATTCCTGCTATATAACAGCCTTTTTACACAATAAAGGCTGACTAAGAGGTCAACATCTTGAATGATAAGCTGGGGGGGGGGGTACTGATACGTAATCTAAATCAAGTGGAGAATATCGTACGTCAAGAAGCTGAAATGTGTTAAAACACAACACATAGTGCGATTGCTGGCACTAGTATTTAGACTTGATATGGCCTTTTAAGTCAAAAGATTATGTCAGTGCCAAATATGATTTTAACATAAGAGGGTTACACTGATATAAAATCAAGAAATAGATAATGACATTATACATCTTTAACCTTGGCTAATTTTTTCTTTAATAATTGTGGGATAAAAGTTACTGCTGCTAAGCCACGGTCAGCAATATTCAGGAAATGACCAGCACATGGAGTATACAAAGCTTACTTGTTGTTAATCATCCGATATTAACTCTTGCACCCTTTGTATTTGCCATTCGACATTTACTAAAAACGTAACGGAACATACCTCACAATAATAGCTAGTTGATTTATCGAAGTCGGTCTGGAGTGGAATCTACAGATAAACTGAAGTACATTGCAGCTCTTAAATCATCCAAGATGTAGTTTCTTACTTTATGTGGGTAAATGCATCACATATTGTTTTAACTAGATGAGATGTGACATCTAATTGTAATGCTTAATTCCCTATTTTTTTTACATGGCTTTCTAGAAAAGGATCAAGCTTTGTTGTAAAATGTTAGTTCGAGTGATTCAAGGAGGTTGTCATTGTTAGGAGAATCAAATGTTTCCTTATCTCCTCCCAGATGAAAGCCACACTCTGCCATAGTAGCTATGATTGCCGCAATTGGTTCAAGAACATTTTCTCAGTGTTGCCGGTTGTAATTTAACTGTTCTGTTAGTCAGAGGCGTAGCGAGGGGGGGGGGGGGGCGACATATGTCCCCGGGCGCCGACCTTAGGGGGGGGGGGGGCAAAAATGGGTTGGAAAAACAAATTGAAAGTTTGAGGGGGGGGGTGCAAATGAAAAGTTTGAGTGGGGGTGCAAATGAAAAGTTCGATGGGGGGGGGGTGTGCAAATCGAAAGTTTTGTCCCCGGGCGCCGGGAAGGGTCGCTACGCCTCTGCTGTTAGTTGACAGTCAATTGTTGAGTCAGGGATATATGGAATAGGCCTATTACCTAAGCTGATTCATGGTTTACGTAAAGAAAAAAATGCTGAATGAAGTAGGCCTATATCACTCGGACAATGTGGGGCCACCAAGAAAAGGGGGGGGGGGCTATAGCTTGTACATAAATCCTGCGCTGTCTGTATCTCCGTCTTACACCCCCCCCCCCCCCCACACACACACACTTGATAGGATTGTTGTTGTAGTCATTTTCCAAGTTGTGGATCTTTTAAAAAGTAAACTTTTTAAAAACTCTGTCCAAACACATCCACTTTGAACTACCCGCCCCCCTCTCGCGTGGACTTACACACTACATCAGTTTCGTTAAAAAAATGTTTTTTTTTCTTCTGAAATGCCGTTTAATTCTTATAATTTAGATTAGCCAACCGTGACCTAACCGTTGAGCGGTAATTTAAAACAACAACGCACACACTAACACTGTACTTAGGATAATTTAGGTCTTCTAGTTATAATGGTGTTAGATTTACCGCGTGAACCCAACACCCACTCCCTCCAAAACCTTTTATCACATACCCCCTCCCCGTGGACGCCTCAAAAAGGTTAGATGACCGCTTGATATAATAAAGTTGTCATCTATTCACTGCGACGCCACCGCCTGATAAAAATACCACGTTTTAAAGCCTACTTGTTTACACTGTGCTAAATAATGGCCGGTGCTGAAGTTAGATTCGTACTACTTGAGAGGTAACCCAGCTGCACCAAGGATACAGTCACAAACAAATGCACGCCTCAGGACCTAAGTTCGCAGAACGTCGATAAGGATGAACGCGCGCACACAAATCGCCGTGGTTGAATTCCGACGAATTCGTCTGTTTATAAAGACCTGCGTCATCACCCCGTTACCTGATGAAGCCCACTACTGAGCCCTATTTTCTGTAGCCCTCTGCTAATTAAGAATTCTATATACTGTAGGCTACAGTGTTTCTCTTAATACTATTAGTCTAAAAAAGTCATGTTTATCATCTAATTGAAAACAAACATGTTTCGCGTTGGTAACTATGGCGTTTAATGTTTCGCAATCCGGTAGTCGATGAAGTAATTAAAGATGAGTGTTCAGTGCGATATGTGATGTCTGATCATATAAAGTGGAGCAAAATAGATTTCACGATGAGGCTAGAATGAAACCCAGTTCTTTCAACTCCTACAAACACTTAAAACAGTTTAACCTGACAAAAGCAACGTGCAAACATGGACGGATCCATTAAAAAATTAAATCTGCATTGAACAAGCGTAACGGTTGGACCAGCACACGATTCTCTCCCCTGCTGGAGTAAATACAGCGCGGCGCTAGGCTCGTGCACAGGTGATTCGTCAGCTAACTAGGCGATGTCTAATCCCAGTACTCGATTGTGTCAATATATGGCAAGAGCCGAGGGTAGGAAAATGAAAACGGATGGAATTCGCTAAGTAAGAACAAGCCGCATTGCGACACGTAGTGCAAACCCGCTAGTGAGTAGTAGGCAGCACTATTAATACTGGCATATTATTATGCAACTTCTGAATGAATCTGGACGTAGTTTAATTAAAAACACCATTCCGCTGGTAATCTGCAAAGGTGTGTAGCTAATATTTATCTTGAAATCTCACACCCTCCTATATCTTGTGAAAATATTGAATAATTGGCAAATTAAAAAAAAAAGTTCATGCCGTGCTCAAACACACACTACCTTACTAAATGAAACATTTCAGCGCAGAAGAAATAAGACGAACGATCTGGATAAAAACAGGTCAATTACTTAATTTTTGGTCCAAGATAGATCAAATTTCTCACTTGTCATACTTTGTCCACATTTGAAATATATTACTCTAATAAGAAAAATCTAAACAAACCAATTTTTATCATAGTATTCTTCAATCCAAACACATTTGACTGACCACAAATATAGGTCTTGGTTTTTACAGTCACAGTTGTTATTTGAGGTGACAACTTGCAAAAACATAATTTAGTGAACTTGTTTCTTCACGATCACAATTCTAAATTAGCAGTTAAGCACATTGTCTGGGAGGGTGCATGAAAAAGAAACGCTTGTCTTTGCAATAGTACACTCAATTCAAGACTATACACCTCCCAAGTGAAAGCCTTAGACATAGAGATAAGTTTTTTTTTCTTTACTTTGATGCTTTTACTTACTTTCATAACTGATAAACAATAAAAACAAACAAATTATTAAAAAAGGAGTATTTTAATTGTGAAAGAACTAATTTCTTTTATTCATTATGACAATTAAAAAAAAATACATTCACTTTCGACTCCATTAAATTGCCAAAATGTTCTGAAAGGTTAATGGATGCTAGAACACATCACAAAAAACACCAAATGAGGAAGTGGTAATACCACATGAGAACAGCTAATTTAGACTTATGAAACAAACATGCTGTTTTTTAAAGATTAAAAACAGCCATACAAAAAAATAATCTATGGATGTCTGTCATGAGACTGTTACTTTATGTTAATGAGCTCAACATCAAAAATCAATGTGGCATTTGGTGGAATCACTCCAGCTGCACCTTTATCTCCATAAGCATAATCAGGGGTGATGGTTAGCTTTGCCCTCTGACCTTTACTCAACTGTAAATAAAAAAAAAAGCAAAACATGATAATTTTACATTTATGAGCCTTAAACTTAAAGAACATGTCAACATATACAATTATCCCCCCCCCCCCCCAGCAAGAATTACAATATGAAAAAGAAAACCATCATTAACATATTTTAAACACTAAAATAAAACTTTCTCCTTAAATTAAATGCAATTAATATTTGCTTCAAAACCTGCTCAGTATTAACAATAATTATCTGCCCCTTATTTGTGTCTGTCATCTGTTGTATATTTCTTAACATTCACTTTCTGATTATTTTTCTTTTTGAAGTATTTAATTAATCTAATAACTGACTAAAAATTAATAATAAGAGTGCTGTCATTGGAAATGCACTTGTATGTGACATACTTAGAAAGAGATTAGGTCAAGATTGAACTAAAAGATTTGAAAACAAATGAACAAAAAAACTTTATGACCAAAGTAAAAGCTAGTAAAATAACAGACATACCTGAGTGAAACCCTCATCCCAACCTGAAAGAAAAATTAGAACATGTAAGTCAAGACAATTACTAAACTGAAGTTCACAAAAACGATTATGAAAAACGTAATAAAATTCCCTTCTCTATCCACTATTAACACATCAATCTCACCTCTGATTACTTGGCCCACACCGATCTTAGTCTCAAAAGGCTTGCCACGATCCCTGGATGAGTCAAACTTTTTACCATTTGTCAGTGTTCCTATAGAAGAGGAGAGGCCAATGAAAATGTAACAAACTTGGTAAGTGGCATAATTTTTATTAAAATTTAATTTATCTAATGCAGACTTAGGCCTACCTGTGTAGTGTACAACAACTGTGTCACCTTTCTTGGCAAATGTTTTACCTGGAAAATTGCAAAGGTAAAATTTTTTTAATGCAAAGTAAAAGCTTTCATTAACCATTAATGACCCATAATGCCTGCAACGCCCACTGCCATCCGCTTACAATATGCATAGAAAAATTAAATTTGTTTCATAAAAATTTGCCCTACAATCAGGAAGTTGGATAATTTCAGCATCCTCCAGTTTACCAATTTCAACTGTGATTTTGAAATAGAATATTAGTCTCTTTCCATCCAGAAATTTTAGACTCATCTGTCCTATTAATAGTAGGTTTAAAATAAAAAATAAAATAAAAACATGCTTAAAAACGTATCTAGGCATGTTTTTTACAAATTATATATCTTAAACAAAACCAAATTGATATTTAACTGTTAAATTCAATGTATAGTTGTTTAGACAAAAATAAATAAAATTGACTACCTTAAGTGACCTATTTAGGTCTGACATTTTCTATTTTTATACTGTACTTCTACTGAATATATTATATTCTATTTAATACTGTTAGAAAGCCAGATTTAATTCCAAAATTAAGCAGTAGTTTTTATCTTAATTATTAATTTCATTTAGACAAAAGCGAATATTTTGTGAAAGAGTTCACTGTTCAAACAGAGTTATGCGCCAAGGGTGGTGTTTTGGTAGAATAAATGGGTCATTAATGGTTAAACATAAAAATTAAAGCCTTGTCATAACATAGACTAAATACTGTGAATGACAAAAGGAAGCAAACCAAAATGCAGATAAAACTGCAGTAACTGGGCCACAATTAAAAAACCTGACATAGGCCTATAAATAGGAAAAAGACATTCACCCATCTCTTTCCTGATGTTGATTGCATTTCCAGATTCTTTTTTGTATGCATTAAGTATTAAAAAATAAAGGCATAGAGAAAATGTGGATTAGGCCGACATATGACATATATTATTAACCAATAGGCCTAAATATTAAATAAAGGTGGATGGGCATGGACGGCCATGGTGCTGATCACATTATCTTTCCACCAAAACTGCTGAACTCTTACTTCATTTGATTAACTGTAATGTTCATAAAGTTGATAAAGGGTACTTCTAGGTTTTAAACTATAATTAATTAATTTAGGTTGTCCCAATGAATAGACCCCAGCAGGAAAAGCCTGAGTGGAAGGTTCCATTAAAATGTGTTAAAATACAAAATTAAAATAAAAATACTAAAATAGTGAACAGAAATTGAAATATGATCAGAATTTCTATTAATTTAGAGGTAGGTATTACTATTAATGTAGGTATTCAAAAGTACATCTAGATTCTAGAACTAGGTCTGATCTAATCTATCTATAATCTAGATCTAGAATAAAAAACAGTTGGAATTTATTTTTCATTTATGATTTTTCAGCAACTCGCCGCCACCAGTAGAAATCTTAATGTAGAAATAGAATTCAAGATCATTGTCCTGGCCTAGAGAATAAGACTGAATTTACTCTGATAACAGCGTATTAATATTATTGTTACAAAAAAAAAAGAAATCTAATGTTAAATATGAACTGTTAATTTGTACAAGTGTGAAATTAATTTTACCATCGCCAGGTGTAATGGTCTCAACCTCGACTCCCATTTCCTAATTTATGGCAGCTGAACGGCTTTTTCTTCCCTGTGGTACGTAATGTTTTACGACTATCTGGGGTTAGAGGCTGATTTTTTCAAAGCCGGAAAAAAGATATTTGTAAAGACTTGCGCGCCACCTGAGACCAAAAATGTTACCAAAATATTTTTTTAAAGCAATGTAGAATATCTATTTCGTCTAGATGAACAATAATTTCGGATATCAACGACAGTTAATGTTCTATAAAATATTATAGTAATTATTATTTAGATTTTCCAACAGTATTTACTTGTACACAAGAATAAAAACAGAATCAAGATCTAGATTTTCTAACAGTTTAGTTTTTGTTAAATTTTAGTGTATTTTCACAAAGAATTGTGTAACTGTAATAGCTTAAAAAACAACGTTTAATCTTTTCTCATGTTACAAATCATACATTCAATCTTAAAACCTCGTTGCTTTTAAAATTAATTTATAAAAGCCTTCTAGAATCTACGTGTTTTTATCTGAAGTTGGTCTACCAGTTTGAATGATTGCCAATTTGGGTTTTAAAGTAAAATTGTACATTTGAAATATTTGTTAACAAACCTTCTAAACCCTAACTAAATTATTTAATAAAACACATAAAAAACCTTTATAATTATAAGCTTTTAAATGCACTGAAATAAAGACCATAAATTTGCTTTCTTCAAATAATAAAAATTTTGGTAGCTAAAATACGATATTTCGCGAGCGAACAACAATATTCAATATTTATTCGTAGTTTGTTTTATTTTCTAATTTTTACGGTATTTAAAAGCTTATTATAATAAAGTTTTACATGTTTTTTACGTTCTATTAAAACGTTCTTTAAACGAAGTCGACACCACATTCGACTGCCTGTCACTTTTTAGACTGTGTTCGCCTTTCAGGCAAGAAATGACACCGTCGTCTGGTAGCTGATCCAGCGATCGCTATTTATCGTGTTATCTCCCCTAATTAAATTTCAATGACTAATGTAATGTCTAAATTCTAAATTAATGAGATATTGCATTGTCACTGGAAAATAATGTATCTGTAAAGTTAAAAAGTATAGCTTTATTAGAACACATAATAATAATAATAGTAGTGACACTTTCCAATACAGAGAGCCAATTGTTTACTTTGTCCATGTCTGGTTCAACCAATGGTTGGTATCAGATCACTGGTTGTTTAGAAATGTTTAGTTTTAGCAGTTTTATGATAATGTCCCTTGATAAGATGAATATTTAAAAGATGCTACTTTATATTGAACGAGCCGACTCGCGGCGTATCATATGCCGCTATTTACCTGTTTTATTTTCTACTTTCAGTAATTCATAATTTGTGAATTCGACAGTACCAACCCCTCCCCCTGTGAAAGTAGCCTCCTCTTAGTTACCTCCCATAAGTTTAAAATAGTTTCAAACTAAATTATCTGCCCCTAATAGCCGTCACTAAACCCGGCTCTACGATTGTACACGTTTAGCGTGAACCACAGCTCATCAGACAATGTGTGGGTGGGGTGGTAGGGAGCGCACTTACAGCTTGGTGTTTTCTAGGGTCTCCAAGAAGAGAATTATATATATATATATATACAGATTTGTGTGACAAGCCTTTTGTTACTTGTCAGTTAGTTGGTTGAACTAAAATTTTTATGAAGCTGTTCCTAGCAATTTAGCAATAATCAGGTCCCAGCTTTTCATAACAACTATATTAGTCCTATATAGAAACAATTATGTAGCTATCCATTAAAATATAAATTCTCTTTTTAAATATCTCAAAAAGCTTGGCTATTGGGAATCAGAAAATCATGCCCAGCCACATTTGGATAGCATAAGGATTATTCCCTGTAACCCCCTCCCTCCATCCCCCTGAATGCAAATGAAAAAATATAAACTTAAGGCCTATACAAAAAATATTTACTTTAACCACGAAAATTTTAACCCGACCCCTAAATTTTTATGTAAGTTATTTGGTAGGTTTGCCTGTCGCCCCTCCCGGGACATAGGCCACTGACAAGAGCTTTCCAGGCATCTCTTGCCTGGGCTAGTCTCTCCAACTGTCGCCAGGTGTATCCAATCTTCTTTGTGTCTTCTTCCAGGTCACGTCTCCAGGTCTTTCTTGGTCAACCTCATTTCTTTTTACCCTGTGGATTTAAGGTGAGGGCTTGTCTTTTTATGCTGGATACAAAATTAGCCTCGGATGATGTTTATTATCAAACCTCATTTCTACTGCGTCATTTTTTTCCTTCTCAGTAAGTAAAGTCTGTACCAATCACAAGACAATACTTCAAATGAATGCAGTTTCCATCATTTAACTTCTATATTGGTGATGATAGATTATGGCGGGTTACCTTAAAATTCTAAAATATCCACAAGCAAGTTAAACAGCAGAAAACATTTATGGGTTAAGTATAATATTTGACTAGCTACTCAAATATATTTTTATTACTATGCCTATTGAAAAGGAAAGACAATAGAAAAAAAAATTAAAAGGACATATTCAAGATATGTCTTACAAAAGCAATACACAATTTATGCTAACATTTATAAAAAAAATTATTCAAATAACCCACCAAAACATTTGTATGTAAAACTTGTATAAAACTTATTAAGAATCCAACCCAAACAAATTGTTCAAATAACTCGCATCATCAGTAACTTGAGATTAACATCTCTGGTGTCTTGGAATGTATCAAGCAACAATTTTGAATATTTTCTGACACCTCAAGGCTTGCAACATACTGATCATTAACTTATGACAAACTTTCATCGTCTACATCAAATAATTGCACCATTGGTATGAATAAAAACCATAAATCGGAGGTCATGCATTTGAATACAAAAAAATTGCATAGTTAATTAATTATTAAAAAAACATTTAAATAATAGGGGCAGGGAGCATGTTAAATGATATACGCATCATGTAAAAAATAAAATTCAACATTAGCATATATTAATTAATTAGAGGATCAAACTGAACAATATAAAATGATTCAATAGCCTGTATTGAACAATAACAAACACAAGCCTGTATTGAGCAATAACAAGCATCATCAATGAATACACTTTATCAAGTAAATAAAATATTTCAAAATCTATATTTTTCCAGAAAGCTTTGCCATTTTCCGCTCATAAGCATTCTTGTATTTTCCACCTTTTTCCACCTGTGACTCTTGCCAGAGCTTGGTAAAAAATGGATCTTTGGTCATGGGTCTATACTTGGAGTGGAAGTACATGGAGATTAAGATTGGGTTTCCTGAAAAAAAAAATAGTTTGGCATCAGTTACAAAGGTGGTTTAATAATCATTTAAAAACGTTTTATATCAATATCAACAAAAAAATATTTTAAAAAGTTAGTTTCATATAGGTGAGAAAAAAAAGCTGATGGAAACTGCCTAGATTCCTTAGAAAATTTTAATACATTTAAAAAAAAACTGCATTGTTTATGTATATGCAGAAAAGAGTTTTTTCAATTACTGCTAATTGCCTATTATTTTTATAACTTAAATGTATTTCTAAAGGCAATCAATTAATTTGATTAAAGAAAGTTTTAACAGAAGAAATACCCAGCTCCTAAACGAAAATAGCATTGACTAAACCAGCACTGTGATGTAAAGTTTGATTTAGACAGGACTATTAGCTTTTGTGATGAAAAGTTTGATTTAGACAGGAGTTACTGTGATGGAAAGTTTGAAAAAAGGATCAGGCACCTGTAGGTGTTGTTGGGTACTGGTACTGTTGTAAAGTCCAGGGAGCCTCTACTTGTGCCATGATAGCTTTAGAGAACACATTGCCATCCCAAGCTGTTCCCTACAAGACAAAACACACAGGTCACACAATTTTGTGATGTAGCATAGCTCTGAGTAGACAAAGTTGAAATAAAGTAACTTGTTCTTTAGAGGACCTATAACATATAAGTATCAATTGACACCCAAGCTTCCCATCAGTGAGTGGATGCTGGGCATACTAAATGCCTCCACTAAAAGATTGCATTGAAATTAAGAAACTGCTCACTAAATGGTACTTACATTTTGGAGAAGTTGAACTAACCACTGTGTGAAGAAATCAAATCTAGGCTTGTAAAAACTGAAATAGAAATTAAATAATTCATATATTTGTGATTATCGCAATAAAAATGTTAGGTTACATTATTTGTCTAACAGACTGATATTACAGCAAACTTCTTACACACTTTCATGAAAATATTCTCTCCTTAAATGCAAAGATTGTTAATTTAAAAATATTTAAAGACCAGCAGAGTTCTTCCATAGAGTCAAGTTTGACAGTTATTTAAAAACTATTCAACTGTTATAACATCTACTGAACAAAACTCATTTCCCCACAACTTACTCTGCTGTTACACCTGCCCATTGTTTAGATGCATAGTCACGAATCTGGAGAAAAAAAAAGCACTTTTTCTATGTATTTTATTTGACAGTTGAAAAAAATACTTTTTAAGATACAATCCATAATGAATTCAAATTTCATTTTGTATTGTTTGTACTTCCAATATGATACACAACTACTTTGTAATTATTTTTAAATTGTATATTCTGATAATTATTTGAAGTGTCTCAGTTGATGAAACTTGTATTAAGCAGATGTAACCATACCTCTAAAATCTGCTTTTCCATATTTATGTGAAACACATGATATGGTATAAAGTAACTCAAATGTCTTACCTCCCCATTGGGCCCCCACAGTGTTATTTGGTTGCGAGCATTATATTCATACAACTTTGACTCGTCAGCATCTGTAGCCCATGACCTGGCATCAGCTATCCAGGTCCCCAGCAGAAAACGTTCATTGGCTGAAAGCAGGTGGTCCAAGTCTGCTAGAAGATCTACTAGGCTGGCACCAGCCACCCTAAGAAAAAATGGACAGATGTAACATTACACATGCTACATGGCATTGTAACTTGGACCTGATGCAAATGAGGATAGGCGGTCTTATTCCTTTTACCCCTTCTGTTAAAATCAAACAAGCCTATGTCTTCATAAATAGATCTCATTGTTTATTCCTAAAATAAAAAACAATTTTCACCTATCACTTCTTCCTGTCTCATGTATGATTTCAATCTTTTGTAACCTAATCTTTTGTAAAAGAAAATCTACCAATTCTGAGCAAATCTTATTATTAATTAAAAATTGAGCTACAAAGCAACTAGGTCTACATGATCTATGAATTTTCTTCTGACTGATGTTGACCTTGATGTGTAGATGGGATAAGCGATCACTGACCATTACTGAATGATTGGCTGGATTTGACCAAAGCGCAACATGAACAACTAAAATGCTTGCGCTGATTTGGCCTTAAAACTAACAATGTGGGTTGAAGTATACAAAGATTTGGGTATGGCTAATATAGTAATAAATAAAATCAAATAAACTTACTTAACAGCATTAACATTTTTGTTATTAAAGCCAGTATTAAGGTCTGTGTAGAACTTTAACGCAACAGTCTGCAGGCAGTTTCTTGTGATATCAGTGATGTCATAATGGAAGAGTTGACTGCCTGCCAGGTCTCCTGAGGCTGCCAGCATAGCATCCCAAACTTTATACAGATCTTCAGGGTTGTACCAGACCTGAGGGGACAACACATGCACACATAAATATTTAGAAAATAAAAATACAAAGGGAAAAGTTTCAAGCAACCAAAAAAAAAACAACAACCCAAGAATAACAGTCAAATAATATGTAACAAGTAAAATAACATTTACCACTTTACTGTGACTTAATTCTACAACTTAATTTAAATGAAAATCTAAACTTGTGTTTGATAAACTAGCTTAATAATACTGAGTGAATTGAAAATAGAATTATAAATGTATGAAAATATTAAGCCAAAAAGTGTTTACAAAATGAATAAAAAAGAAGAACAAGCAGCTCTTGAAAACAATTTTTTGATGTTTTTAACTTAAACTTTTAAAGAATTATGGTCAAACATCACATTAAGTTCAGAAAAAGATTAGAAGGGACCATGAATAGTTACACTGAACATTAAGTAAACAACAACATTCACATTACCACTTCTATTGCATGTTTCAATAATTTATATAGACATTAAAACATGGAGCAGTGCTTTTTAAAAATATTTTATAGAGTAACAGGAAGTACATCTGGCATCTATTACAGTATTAGTGAAAGTAACATAGGGGATTTTTTGAGTACTGTTTCCTGCCTGTAATATACAGGCAGTATTTACATTTAAAAAAAATTAAAACTTTTTCTTTTTTTTGGTTAAAATCAATTATTTTTCAAAGCTTTCATTTTTCGTGTGTGATCAGGAAAACACAAGTTAATTAATCAGACAATTTGAATTTTGATCACGTCACACCCAAATATCCTTTTTTTAAAATTTATGTGTTACAGTAGGTTGACCTAATCATTTACTCACATTTGAGTGGATGTCAGAATTGGTGGTAGGTCTCTGGGTGATTAAGACATGATCAAAATCCCAAATTTTAGACGTAGCATTGTAAACACTGCTCTGACAAAGACAGAAAGAAAAACATTCAACCACAATCAAACAGTTATCAGCTGGCCCGTCTCACAGCAAGTGATCCACAAGACTGCTGCTGTAATGGAACATGGATCACTTGCCTCTTGACAAGCCAGCAACAGGACAGCTTACATGTTGCCCAGTATAATTTAGTGCTGGACGCCGGGAAACGACAGCAGTGTCATGGTCACTGCGACCATCTGTTACATTGTAGACACTTCTCTGTAAAATTGTAGCGTTAGGTATAGGTATTATAGGTATAGGTCAAGTTGATGTCTTTTCTGTATGTTGACTAATTTAATTAATTATCAATGATTTCAATTATTTTTAGTAGCTTATTGGTTTTCTGTGATGCTGTTATGATAAGTTTTTATTAAAATTGAAGCATAAGAAAATCAGTATAATTTACAATATTTCTTAAAAATGGTAATGAAAGAAAAAAAACATTAAATTACTGGATGGTATAAAAAGTTTTAAATTTTAATTCCACATACCATTAAAAGTTTCCACGCCACGGCAGCATCTGCACTGTCTGCACCATAACGCTGGCGGGAATACTGCGTCACCCTAAAAGATAGGAATAATTGCTAAGCAGCAATACTAAAACTAATCATTTGCAAAATTACCACAGACAAAAAAAAATTATTACAGAATGATCATACACAAAAAAAATATCACTAACTGATCATCAACAAAAATTATCACTAATCATACACAAAATCACCACTGATTGATCATGCACAAAAATTACCACAATACAGGAAATACCACAAATCATAAACAAAGAGTCACAGTTGATCATAGACAAAAATTACCAAAACATACAAACATTACCACTGATCATACAAAGAATTATCACTGATCATACAAAGAATTATCACTGATCATACAAAGAATTACCACTGATCATACAAAAAAAACCCACTGAACATACAAAGAATTACCACTAATCATAAAGAATTACCACTGATCGATGTCTCTGGGCTCTGTCCTCCATGAGTTTTCCATCATAAATTCATACATGACCTCATTCTGGTGAATTCCTTCAGGTGTTAGACCAATCCCTATCATTGTAGAGTTAGGGAACTGGCGACCAGCAAATGGACCCTACAATTTATCAAATATATGAAGTATTTTGATAAGATGGACACAATTCTTATCACTATAGTAAAGTTAGAAACATATCATCCAGGGTGATGTTTAGGGATAATTAGGTTTGTTGATTATTAACAGCGTTAACTAAAAAATTCAACTGCTATTTTTGTTACTTAACAAAATTTTGTTGCCTTTTCTGAAGCATAAAAAAATTATGTACTTTATGCTTTAATTATAATAACATTTCTTGTAAAATTGTACCTTGTTAATGCTATCAACAGCACCATACAACTCCATTGTTCCCCCAAAGTTATGCAACATACACCAAATAAACGGCTGGCCATAGTAAGATTCAAATCTTTGGTACAGGGGTCCATTCTCTGAATCTAAGTCCAACACAATCATTCGTCCCTATGTAACAGAGGACGAAATAAAAATGGAGAAAAACTTTAGCCATTTCTAAGATGGAGAAAACAGAACATTCTGTATGTAACTGAGAAAATGTAAACATTTTTAGTTACTGGACATTATGTTGACAGTAACTGACAAATACAAGGCAGGCAAATGTAATGCAAAAATATCCTTTCAGTTTCAGACCTAATGGTCAATAGGGCACGTGACATAGAGTTTGTCAATTTTTTACCTTGGAAACCGAATGGATAGTGTGGTCAGTTCTATGTCCAGATGCCTTTACTTTTCCTAAATCCGGTAAATCAGCTTTTCATCAGAGCTGGGTGGAGCGGAGGTCTGGTATATGAATCAGACCTTTAGGTGAGCATTCATGTGCTCTACCACACAACCACACCATCCCAAGTCCGAGTCACAGATGTGTTGATATTAACAAATTTGTATGGTTCACATTCCAATTCTGTAGAGCATACCTTAGCCTAGCTGGATATGACAGTGGTCTAAATAAAATTGCTGAAAGTGCTGTGTGGGGTGTTTAGTGGGCTTTGGCCTCAAGACTCCTTCATTTGTCATGGTCATAGGTGAACTCTATATAATGTGATCAAGTTTGAATCTTCCCTGTGTTACATGTGGGTTTTTGTTCAAGTCTCACCTGTGGTACTGAGGTAACAAGAGCTTTGACAAGGGTTGGTGTCCAGTAGGAATCATAAAACAGCCATCCCTGCATTAACCTAAATTTCAGACAAAAAGATGATGCAGTCACAAAAAATGTACTCTAAACCAAAACTAAAGTGTCTGGTCATTCAACAGCACAAAGCATACTTAGTTTTTATATACCAATGTTCACAGATCTGTGTGTATATTTATACAGAACAAGAAATCCAAGGAAAAAATGAACAAGATATCCAAGGCAAAAATGTCACTAAAAAAACTTCAAAATAAAAAAAAACTTGAAACAAATTATCTTAACAGATGTATGTGCTCATACAGAACAAAAGATTTACCAAATAGCTTGTGGGTCACCAGCCAGCATCCCATAATAGACAGCTTTTCCAGCATTGCTAATGTATGTAGGATCACTGTAGGATAAAATAACCATAATAAAATCATATGCATTTAAGATCACTAAAGTATGCAGGATTACTTTGCAACAAAGACATTAAAAATGATGTATATATGAAGTCTGTACAGTAGTATAAATTAAACATAAAATAAAAAAACAATATATAAATTATAATAAAGTAAAATAAAGTAAATTATCTTACCAAGTAGATGGAAGTTAAAATAAATTCAACATTAAATGACAGATTTGTGGAAAAACATTTACCTAGATGTTGGGGTCATCTCATTAAAAGTATCAGCATTGTAGATGTGATCTGTACCAAACTCATTGGCTTGCTGTTGAGAAAACATTGGCATTAACAAATTACATATGATAAAATACTGATCTGATTGTAAACCTGATTAAATTGCAACCTGATGTAATCTTTCGTGTAACCGACAACTCTAAATATACATGTGAAAGCTTTTCATGATATGAACCGATCTATTGTGAACAAATAAATATTTGTAAGATAGAGTAATCATGTAAAGGCTTCACAATGTTTATGCCCTAATTTGCATTGATAATGATAGGCAACTCTCTTGATTATACATACATACATATATATATATATATATATATATATATATATATATATATATATATATATATATATATATATATATATATATATATATATATATATACCTACAAACTACACAGCTTATCAAGTTTTTATTACTTACAGCTTCAATAAAAGCTTTGCTGATTTTGTTGAACAAAGGATCTTGAAAATCCAACAGGTAAGTTCTGAAAGATAAAAGTTTTTTTTTCACTTAGTTTTAATAAATTAATAATTCATATTCATATACAGAAATATTATTAAAGAATATACATAGTTAGGTTATTACTTAGAAAACAATATTTAATAAATTTTAGAGATATAGGCCTATATGTAATTATATATATATTATTCAAATTTGATAATTTATGGGTTCACTTTTTTCATCCTTAAATGTAACACTGGGGCTCATTAGAATTTACTGTCATGTTAAAGGAACAATAATCAAGAATAAATTAAGTCATTGGTTTTTAACCTGGGTTCAATCAAACCCCAGGGATTTAGTGAGTCAGTCTCAGGGGTTTGTCGAAAGTCAAGACACACACCTCACTAATTTGATTTGCAATCAGATTTTATCAGTGCTGATGACAGAACTAGGGGCAGCAAGCGATGACAGTATGATATAGTAGCGGGACATAGTAATAAAGTGTGCCAGAGCTAGATAAGATCAGAATCTTGATATTTCTATATTGTGGAACCCTTGTTTTCACGACACACATATGCCATCAATCGTGTCAAGGCCACCTATACAAGTAAGTGTTGATCCTGTATATATAAGTTGTGACATACTTTTAATTTCTATAAAGCAGTTGACATGTGATTGACGTGATTTCTCTCTTAATATTTAAATCTTTATGTCGAGAAAAAAACAAAAGTGATCTGACAAATATGCACAATATGGATTCACATGGTTATCAGAATTTGATGGTAGTCAGCATCCTAAATGCATGATTTGCATTTTGCAAAATGCCAAGTTTAAAACTAACAAAGCAAAGAGAACACTTCCTTAAGCTGCATGAAAATGGAAAATACTAGAACACAAAACTAGCTGAATTCAAAGTGAAGCATGCATTTTAAAATTGGAGTCTAATTTGAAGTAAATATTCCTTATAAAGTTTTTGTTTTTGGGTGAAAATCTTATTTTAATGGTTTTGTTCTTTTAACACAGTGATCTTGATGCACAGATAATTTTGTCTACCAAAAAGCTATATACCTATGTTTTAAATTTGGAAAAAATAATTTTTGGGGTTCTTCCATATCTCTAAAAAGGTTATGAACCACTGATCTATGCTATCAACCAAAAACTTCTAATTTTAGAACACAAGTCTCATAAAACATGAACACAAATTTCTGGAGAATTACAACAATATCCCTAAACTCTGTATAAAATATATTTTATAAGATAAATAAAGAAACACATACCCTGAATAAGTTGTATTAAAGTTACTCCATGTTCCTAACCTGCTGACCTTTGCTTGTGGAAAAATTCTGAGTTTAAGAAAGGAATTTAATTATACGATGTACATAGTATGTTATTTTATAACAAAACTAGAAAACAACAGAAAAATTATAATTCATAAACAATATTAGCTCAAATAAAACATTTTTTAGATTGTTAAAAGAACTGGTGAATAATAACATTTTTAAAAACTAAATCAAATATAAAAAACTACCTTGTTATTCCACTGGGCACATGTCCAGCAAATGCAGGTAACACAGGTATCATTCCAAATAACCGCATGCGCTCAAGTATCTGATGTTGTAAAACTAACTTGTTGGTTATCCACATCTGTGGGAGTGGACCTCCCCATCCTTGGATGTTACCCATTCTAGCCCTAGAGGGAAATACATTTTTCTTTACTTAACATTTTGTATAATCCATTTGAAATTATGGGCATATTAAAAACAAGAAATAAAAGTATAGATAAATCAAATAATTTAAATGATACTAATTAAAACAACATACCAAGCTAGAAAAGCTGGACCACCAAAAAATCCATCCATATCAGCTTGTGTGAATCCCAAACTCATGTAAACCTAAAGAGAAAAAGTTGATAGGTCATTATTAAGGTGAAATTTATAAAACATAACAGTAAAAAGAAACTGATTCAAATTCAAGTTAACTAGATAGTGAGGGCCATTTTTAGACAGTAAAACACATAACGAAAATTAAGAAAGAAACAGGTTCAAATATGTCTATAGCATCACGATTTTAGAGGAAAAAAAAGTAAAAAGTATTTTATTATAAAATTTAATAGATTTTTAAAAACTATTTTGAAAAAGAACACCAGTTAAACAGGAAGCAATTCCAAATTTAATTTTTTTTATACAGACAAGAGGCCTACCACAATATTTAGTGGAATATTTATAAAATCTAGCTTAGTTAGTTTAGCTTGCCTAATCAAACACTGATGCAATGTATTTTGTTTATAAGAAATGGACTTGCCCTTTGAAAAATAGCCTCTTGGCCTGTAAATGCAAGAGGCAAATTAATTCCTTGCATAGCCATCCAATCAATTTCTTGTTCCCAACGTGGCCATTGCCAGAATGCCATTGTATAACTGACTGTACAAACATTCTGATAATAACGGAACCTGTCATAAAAGAATAATTTACGATTTTTTACTTCAATCAAAAGTAACAATATTCTCATAAACCAAGATGATGCTTAAAAGGATATGTTTACTGTTGATTGTGAATGACTAAAGTTAAAAACATAACAGCTTACTTGTCATTGGTGGTAATTTTGATAGGAGTGGTTATAACTGGGAGAGTTGGAGGCAGCTCAGTTTGTTGACCTGCCCATGTGCGCTGACCATTACAATAATATTTTAGGTAATAATAGAATCCCATTGAAGCAGAAACACCACTTGTACCAGTAACCTCAATTCCATTCTCTGTAGATCTTAACTAGAAAAAAAATGATTTGATGGCAAAATTAAATATGGCTCATGATCAAAGCTTGTTCCAAAAAAAAACTATAAAAGTTAGAATGGGGTAGAACACTTTATTAAGTTTTGTATTCCATATTTTTAAAAAAAAATTATGTTTTAAATACTTTTTGGTTAATAAAAAAAGCATAAAAACAGTACATCAAATTATTAAAAACATTACAACTGACAACTAATTTTTGATCTGCCCCCATGTGTTTGTATTAAGGCATGTAGGCTCTCATTTTTTTCTAATCCTGTTGACCCAATAAAGCAACACTCCAACTGAGACATACAAATTAGCCAATACATAACTTCACTCATCTTGAGCTACATCATTGTTTAAAATGGTTTAAGATAGTTTAAGATAGCTGATTAAAACTTTACCTGGAATGTATCTTTATTGTTTGGTCCAATACTTGGATCAACTATAACATTAAATTCAGAAGCTCTGTCCTTGATTAATCTACTGATCAAATCCTTTACAGCTTGGGCTTGTTGTTCAGGGGTTGCTTTTGGCTTTATGTGGTTAAGTTGTGGGAAATCTACATGATGGCAGTAACAACAGAAATAAGTAATTTTAAAATATTTACTGTAAGATCTTCTATTAAAAAAAATGCAGTTAGAATCTTTTAAAAACAAAGTATATCACTTTTATCAACAAGATATCAACATTTGCTTTTCAAAAGCTATATAAAAGGTAACAATAAAAAAAACTTGGCTTAATTACAACTACCCTCGGTGCATTTGTTTTCATTGGCCTTTTAATAAAGCATCACTATAAAAAATTACCTACCAATAAGGGCTGTTACAATTGGCATGAACACCATCACAGAAATGCAAAAAAGCTTCATCTGCAAAATTATTTAAAATTCAGTACATTTTTATCATGGAATGGGGTGGACACAATTACTAACCTGAAGTGTCAAACAAAATGTTAAAAAATAATAAAGAGAGATAACAAGATTAATTGGTAGGGATATATGATCAATTAGAAGAGCTTTATTCACTGATGTTTTCACACTGATATCCAGATGTTTTCCTAGGGATACAAATGGTCGACTTGAAATATTGACCAACTAATGATTTGTGATTTTCTTTGCAATTGTGAATTGATTTGTATTATTGTTTTCAGTTTATATTTAACTCAATGCAACAAGCCTGTCAGTTGGTTGAGGCCAGGCCGGGGGACGTTCTGACCGCAATTCAAAGGGACGACTCGAAATATCATCAGAGTTGGTAAGGGTCTAACTATCTATTCTAAAGTAGGTATTAGTAAATTTTAATGATTAGTAGGATATATATGAACATCATATATAATAGGCCTACTATTTATTAATATATATTGATATATGCCAATTTAAAGGACAGTAGTCTTGAGTAGTGAAGTAGGCTAATAATTTACAGTATTTTAGACAAATAATAAAATATTGACAAATATGAAATAATATAAAATAATATGAAATAAGATAAGATGATAAGACATTGATTAAAATTTTATAATAAACTTATAGTTTTAAAATGAATATTGAATAGGCATAGGCCTATTTGTGTGTAAAATAGTGTAAATTATTACTTTATTATTTTATTAGCCTACTTCATTCTACTTACTACTATAGTTAAGTACTTACTCTCTCACTCAGTCTACAGTCTTGAGTCTACTGTACTCTAGTCTCGAGTCTGACTCTAAGTGTACTTCAAAATCAAATTCTAGGACCAGGCCCTAACTTCTAAGTAACTAGATCTAAGTACTGGGGGAATTTTTATACCAGTTGAATCTTCTGAAAAATGGGTGTATCGGCTATCCCTAACCCAAACCCTGGTCCTACCATACCCTAACCAAAACACCCCTCCTTTCAAAGGAGTCCTTTGTTATTGTTTTGGGAGAGTCGGACATCACTATCAGTCAGTCCAGTATCTATAGTATCTAATATAGTCTATCTAGAATCTAGATCTAATTTTTTTTTTACAGTTTAAGTTTTAGTTAAGTAAGTTTTACGACATTTTACGTTTTAAGGCAAAAAGGAATGAAAAAAAACAACTTAAAAATCTGGTTCTTAATTATTTTTCGTAAATAAAACAATACCTTGTTATGGAAAAAAATAACGAATTTCTCGTATGTAATCAATTTCTTTATACGAAATGTCTGAATGTTATGTTGCTCAAAAGAAACTCAATAAAGATAAGAAAATGTTATTGTTGAATGGACTTCGCCATTTTCAGCAAGTCACATGATTCGATTTTAGCAACAATCACGTGACGTTATATGAAATGATTATTCTGCAAATCGTTCTTGGTCATTACCACGCCCCCCCCCCCCCCCCAGCTTGTACAGTTAGAGTTAGAGGCATAGGGGTGGACTCTTGATTTTGTGCCCTCCCCCTTTATATACATATAGGCCTACATATATTAATAACCGGCATAATGAGAATTACTAGGCTACTATTGAATGCCTTGTATTACTTACATGACGATACGCTTAATATCAATCAAAGTATGAAAAATATAGGCATATCAAATATAATTTTTACTACACACATGCATTTTAAGAAAATGTAACGCCTGAATGTTTAAAACAAGCAAAACAAGAAACATATTAAAGAGAAACGATTAAAAAACCCAAATTGACCCTTCCCCCTAATCCCCTAAGGCAATGTTTCGTGTTGTTATATGATCAAGAGACGTCGTGTTTCTTCCAGACGTTTTCTCTCGTGTTGGTGGGGGGGGGGGGGGGCGTAATTAAAATTTCGGACGACGACGACACTGGTAAAAGTATATATTTTCGTTATAAATTTTATTTCGTTCGAGGGGTATAGGGACCCATTCCGGCGCCCGTTGCCAAATATCAATGTTGCGCCCCACATCGATTTAAACTAGTTTATAAAGGCAAGTAGCAGTCCCACCCCCAGATAGACTGGATACATTTTTGGGTCGTTTTTTTTTGTCTGTGTGTGTGGAATTTTGTCTTTCGTGTTTCTGTTATTCTAATATTTCAAGGCACAGTTCGCAACTAATTGCTGAACGCCAAGAGTAAATATTAGGCCCAGATTTAGGCCTATAAATAATATAGGATAACCATATTAGATTACCATATCCGAAAGCGATAATTCTTAAGTGTTTATAGATCTGTATATTAAAAATCTCGAAGGTCGAAGATCCGTTCTCTAATTAGGCCATAGTTGTCGATCCATCACGTGATATTAGCATACTTCATGAAAATGGCGATCTCCAAGTAAATATTAAAATACAGACATTTACAATAAAATTGGATTGAAGTAAAAAATCTTAAATAGTAATAGCGTCAGCTACTTATCAATTTAATACAAAAGAATGAACTTTAGCACCATATTTAAGGTAACGTTAAAAGAGTATGTGTGTAGGAGGGGTTGGGGATTGGAGAGGCTAAGGGCACTGTTCAATGTGGCGATGTGCAGAGGGGAGGAGACTTTCGCGACATTGTAACAAGGGAAAGGGGAGCCAAGAAAGCATGACGTCACAGTTTAGCATTTAAAAGTATATGTTAAAAAATTAAATGTTAGCATTTATTTAGCATTTTATGAAGATGTATTGAAGAAAGTGTGTATGTGTGTGTGGGGGGTGGTAGGGGGGGGGGGTGGTGGTGGTGGCAAGATTATGTGTCACACAATTTATGGATGAGGTAGGGTGCTGGTATTGGTATAGGGCAATAACTAAAATATCCTAGATTAGGGCCTAGTTAACAATGTCTGGTTTTCAGTCCTTTCTTTAACACTTTTCAAGGCTTTTCATAAATACACGTAAAAAACTCCCTTTTTCTTGTTATCTCCCCTTTCAAAATGAATTTAGTAATCTTTTAATAAAATTTCATTGACTAATCTAATGTCTAATTAAATTAATGAGATATTGCATTGTCACCGGAGAATAATGTATCTGTAAAATTAAAAAAAAGAGAGTTTTATTAGAACATAGGTCTAATAATAGACATTGTGAGCTAAATAAAAGCTTTTCAAAAAACATGAATACATTTTAAAAGTAGTGATATTTTTTAATACAGTGAGCCAATTATTTACGTTGTCAATGTCTCATTGTCTGGTATCGCTGGTTATTGTTAAGTTAACAATATAAAGGATGTTGCTTTATATTGAATTGTTGTGACAAGACCTTTTGTTACTTGTCAGTTACTTAGTTGTTGGTTGAACTATAATTTCTATGAAGTGGTTCCTAGCAGTAGCAATTTAATTTAGCAATAATGAAGCTATATCATGACAGCTATATTAGTCCTATATAGAAACAATTATGTAGCTATCCATCAAAATATAAAGTTTAAATATCTCGAAAATCGTAGCTACTTGTGAATCTAGAAAATGTGTCATAGGCATAGGTATCAGAAAGCCATGTCCTGGTACATTTGGATGGCAAAAAAAGGATTATTGCCTGTACCCCCCCCCCCAAATGCAAATGAATAAATATAAACTTTAGGCCTATACAAAAAATATATACTTTAACCACTAAAATTTAAGCCCGACCCCTAAATTTCCATGTAAGTTATTTGGTAGGTTTGCCTGTTGCCCCTCTCGGGACATAGGCCACTGACAAGAGCTTTCCTGGCATCTCTTGCCTGGGTTAGTCTCTCCAAGTGTTCCAAAGTGTATCCAATCTTCTTTTTGTCTTCTTCCAGGTCACGTCTCCTCTTTTCTTTTTACCCTGTGGATTTCAGGTGATGGCTTGTCTTTTTATGCTGGATACCAAATTAGCCTCTGATGTTTATTATCACACCTCATTTCTACTGCGTTGTTTTTTTTCCTTCTCAGTAAGTAAAGTCTGTACCAATCACAAGACAATACATCAAATGAAGATTTGATTTTAAGTTTAACTTCTATATTGGTGATGATAGATTATGGGATATCTTAAATTTTTAAAATATGCACAAGCAAGTTGAACAACAGAAAACATTTAAGGGTTAAGTATAGTAATATTTGACTAGAAACTCAAATATATTTTTATTACTATGCCTAATGAAAAAGAAAGACAATAGAAAAAAAATTTAACATTTATAAAACAAATTATTCAAAAAACCCAATAAAACATTTGTATGTTAAACTTGTATAAAACGTGTTAAAAATCCGACAATAACAATTTGTTCAAATAACTCGCATCATCATTAACGCGAGATTAAAATCATTAACATCTCTGGTGTCTTGGAATGTATTAAGTAACAATTTAATATTTTCTGACACCTCAAGGCTTGCAACATACTGATCTTTAACTTTTGACAAACTTTCTCTTCTATATCTAATAATTGCACCATTGGTATGGATAAAAACCATAAATTGGAGGTCATTCATTTGAATACAAAAAAATTGAGCAATAACAAGCGTCATCAATGAATACACTTCATCAAGCAATGATAAGGTCTGTATTTTAAAATGAAATATTTCAAAATCTATATTTTTCCAGAAAGCTTTGCCATTTTCCGCTCATAAGCATTCTTGTATTTTCCACCTTTTTCCACCTGTGACTCTTGCCAGAGCTTGGTAAAAAATGGATCTTTGGTCATGGGTCTATACTTGGAGTGGAAGTACATGGAGATTAAGATTGGGTTTCCTGAAAAAAAAGTTAGTTTAGCATCAGTTATAAAGGTGGTTTAATAATCATTTTTAAAACTTTTATTTTTATATCAATATCAACGAAAAAATGTTTTTAAAAGTTTGTTTCATATATGTGAGAAAAAAACTGGTTTGGTTTTAGTAAAAAAAAAGCTGATGGAAGCTGCCCTGATTCCTTAGAAAATTTTAATACATTTAAAATACAAAAAAAATGCATTGTTTATGTACAACCAAAAAAAGATTATTCTTTTCAATTACTGCTAACTGCGTATGGCGTATTATTTGATAACTGAAATGTATTTCTAAAGGCAATCATTTAATTTGACTAAAGAAAGTTTTACCAGAAGAAATACCTAGCTTCTAAACAAAAATAGCATTGACTTAACCAGCACTGTGGTGTAAAGATCAATTCATACAGGACAATTAGTTATTGTGATGTAAAGTTTGATTCAGACAGGACTATTAGCTTTTGTGATGAAGAGTTTGATACAGACAGGATGATTAGTTAATGTGATGGAAAGTTTGATAAAGAGATCAGGCACCTGTAGGTGTTGTTGGGTACTGGTACTGTTGTAAGGTCCAGGGAGCCTCTACTTGTGCCATGATAGCTTTAGAGAACACATTGCCATCCCAAGCTGTTCCCTACAAGATAAAACACACAGGTCACAACATTTTGTGATGTAGCATAGCTCTGAGTAGACAAAGTTAAAATAAAGTAACTTGTTCTTTAGAGGACCTTTAACACATTAGTATCAATTAACAACCAAGCTTCCCATCAGTGAGTGGATGCTGGGCATACTAAATGCCTCCACTAAAAGATTGCATTGAAACTAAGAAGCTGCTCACTAAATGGTACTTACATTTTGGATAAGTTGAACTAACCACTGTGTGAAGAAATCAAATCTAGGCTTGTAAAAACTGAAATAGAAATTAAATAATTCATTTAATTGCGATTATCGCAATAAAAATGGAAAGTTACATTATTTGTCTTACAGACTGGTATTAATAAAACATACTTCTTTCACACTTTCATGAAAATGAAATGCAAAGATTGTTTATTTTAGGCACTATAAATATAAATACTGATCATACATACATATATGACTATTATTGTTTCTTAAATTTCTTTGGCTATTAATCTTGTTTGTCACTTTATACATTTGAAGACCAGCAGAGTTCTTCCATAGAGTCAAGTTTGACAGTTATTTAAAAACTATTTAACTGTTATAACATCTACAGAACAAAACTCATTTCCCCACAACTTACTCTGCTGTTACACCTGCCCATTGTTTAGATGAATAGTCACGAATCTGGGCGAAAAAAAGCATTTTTTTCAATGTACTTTATTAGACAATTGAAAAAAAAAACTATTTAAGATATAATCCTTAATGAATTTAAATTTAAATTTCATTTTATATTTTATGTATAACCAATATGATCTACAAATACTTGGCTATTATTTAAAATTATATTTTCTGATAATTATCTAAAATCTGCTTTTCCATGTTTATGATTAGGCAAAACACGTGATATTGCTTAAAGCAACTCAAATGTCTTACCTCCCCATTGGGCCCCCAGAGTGTTATTTGGTTGCGAGCATTATATTCATACAACTTTGACTCGTCAGCATCTGTAGCCCATGACCTGGCATCAGCTATCCAG